TATTTATGATTTTTTATAAACTACAATGTGCCTGATATGAAGCTTCTGAATTCTGTTGGGTACTGTTTAAAGGGGCATTCCGCTTTATTGTAAACATTTTTAATATCAAAAGCATCGTAAATTATACGAAAATTATATAAAATATTTCTAAAGTTTGCTATAAATATCTACTTGATCAAACTGAATTTTTTTCTGAAAGGGTTGATTAAAAATAGAGAGTACTAATTGTTAATTAAGGGGTTTAGCTTTATAATGGCTCCATATTTTTTGGCGAAACCTTTAGAATACGTAGGAGAAATATGTCTGTACTATAGACGTTTATTTTACTTAAATACGTACATTAGTTTTTTAACAGCTATCATAAAGCATAAAAATTGTACGCAAGTAAACTTTTTAAATAGTTTTGGCGTTTAAATATTAACGGCTAGACATTTTTAGTTAAAACTTTCAGATACGTTAAGGGACACATTTTTCTAAATTTTGATGTATATAGTTTTCACAAATTTGAGCTAAAATTTTTCGACCTACAGAATAAGCGGAATGTCCTTTTTTAAAATGGGTTATGTTTAAGTCATGTTTGACATAGAGCTTACAAAACAATTATGATATAGATATAACATAGATAAAAAAATTTTACTGCAGAATTTTGTTACAAGCAAGCAACAATGCCTTATAATGTTTCTTATTGGTCACTGATGAGAGTTGCCAAGATCCCTATTACATTTGTACATTTATTTGACACCAAAAATACATAAAATTATGTTGCCATGATATCCAATTGTGGACTTTTGAAAGAAAACTTTATTTTATTTTTTTAAATTTATCAATATTGTTTATTTGAAAAAAGGCTGTCAATTTATGATTAATTCTCTACAATTGAAATAAATGCTCTTGCTCTGCCACTGTAGATGCAACCACAACCCTCTTGTTTAAACCGGATGATAAAATAAGATTTCATTGTGTTTAGGTGATCAAAACTTTACTAGAAATACCAGTGGAGCTCAGTGGTATGGTGATGGAGTTTATTTTAGTGAATACCCTGAATATTCTATGGGCTATATTAAAGGAGAAAAGAAAATTTTACTCAATCAAGTATTACCAGGAAGGGTGTGTATAACAATTTTCATTTCAATATTTTAGGTGATAGTGGCTTTGCTCAAACTCATGGTGCTAAATATGGTCAAGGAGTTTATTTCAGTGAATTTCCAGATTATTCAATGAGGTACATTCATGGTGCCACCAAACTTCTCCTTTGTCAAGTGTTAATTGGAAAGGTTTGTGTCGTAATTTTTGAGTAAGAAATCCCTCATTTGACCCCTGGTAACCTTTTTTAGAGCTGAATCTTTTAGCAATATCAATTTTGAATTACTGCCACCATGTGCAAAAAAAAACACCCTGTTTAAACATACTTCTTATAACTTTTTGAGCTGACATTCTAGGTTGAGGTGATAATTAATTTTAATCTGCATGCAAGGAGAAATTTGATCTTGATTTGTGATTTAAATCAATATATTCCAATCAGAGTTTTTCTCATTTCAGTCATTCACATGTACTAGTTTAAGAGGGAGCAATGGTCAGGTTGAAACTGGTTATGACTCACATATTTCTAGCGATAAGAAAGAGTTAGTTATATTTAAAACTGAGAGAATATTACCATGTTATATTGTACATTATACACCCAAATCTGGTGATTATCAATATAAATAATAAGTTATTATAGAGAATATTGTACACCCAAATGTGATTATCAATATAAATATTAAGTTATATTTAAAACTGAGAGATTATTACCATGATATATTGTACATTATACACCCAAATCTGGTGATTATCAATATAAATAATAAGTTATATTTAAAACTGAGAGATTATTACCATGTTATATTGTACATTATACACCCAAATCTGGTGATTATCAATATAAATAATAAGTTATATTTAAAACTGAGAGTATATTACCATGTTATATTGTACATTATAAACCCAAATCTGGTGATTATCAATATAAATAATAAGTTATATTTAAAACTGAGAGTATATTACCATGTTATATTGTACATTATACACCCAAATCTGGTGATTATCAATATAAATAATTAGTCCCAAATCTGGTGATTATCAATATAAATAATAAGTTATATTTAAAACTGAGAAAATATTACCATGTTATATTTTACATTATACACTCAAATCTGGTGATTATCAATATAAATAATAAGTTATATTTAAAACTGAGAGAATATTACCATGATATATTGTACATTATACACCCAAATCTAGTGATTATCAATATAAATAATTAGTTATATTTAAAACTGAGAGAATATTACCATGATATATTGTACATTATACACCCAAATCTGGTGATTATCAATATAAATAATAAGTTATATTTAAAACTGAGAGAATATTACCATGTTATATTGTACATTATAAACCTAAATCTGGTGATTTTCAATATACAATTAGTTATTATAGAGAATATTGTACACCCAAATGTGATATCAATATAGGTCATGAGTTATATTTAAAACAGAGAGACTATTATCATGTTATATTGTACATTATACACCCAAATCTGGTGATTTTCAATATACAATTAGTTATTATAGAGAATATTGTACACCCAAATGTGATGATATCAATATAGGTGATAAGTTATATTTAAAACTGAGAGACTATTATCATGATATATTATGCTGGAAAATCTGGTAAATCATTAATTAATTCAATTAAACTATTGCACATTTTACATTCAATTAAAGACAATAATAAGATCGGCTATATTGTAGAATTTGCTTTATATAAAACATAGTACCCTAAATAATTCTGATAACAACATAACAGGTCAGATATACACTGCTTCTGTTCTGTTTTAAATGTATTCTATTTATTCATATTTTACATAACCTACTGCTTTTTTTCCTTTTAAACTTTGCTTTGAAACTGCTTATTGTTTTCATATCATGTTTAGATTATTATTGTTGTGTTATGTATAATAACCTCTAAGGAGCTGTTAATGTACTATTGTTGTAAGGTATAATGGATAGCCGAGGGTTTTATCAGATATAAAACAATGGAATGGTGTCACTTGAGGTTTAATAATTTGTTTTATTTTTAAATTTAAAAATATTTTAATTCTTATTATTAAAGCTTTTTCCATATCGCAAATTATATTTTGTTGTGAAAATTTTCTAAATGATGTTAATCTAATTAAAATTAGGAAATAAGTTTTTTTTTTTTCATTTTCTAATATTTTTCTTCTCCATTATTACGTAAGTTTCCTCACACTGTTCTGTTTTAATGATGTGATTTAAATGAACTAAGCTTTTCATGTAGAAACTGTTTCTAAATAATGTAACAATTGGTGGGATAGAAAAACCCACAGAGGCTGTCATTTTGCTTATGGTTTGCTATCTAGAAATCTAGAAACTGGTTTTACATGACCAATGATTGGTAAAAACCATTAAAACTTACAATTGAGACAAAAACGTTTATTGTCCTCATCCATGGCCGTCTAAGTTTGTCTTTGCACAATGACTACTAGACATTCCAACAGTAACAATCCCTGACAAATTTTGATGAAACCTGGTGAACCGCAGAATGAATCTTACAGAAAATGAAGACTTATTATTCTGAGTTTTTGTTTCTGAGTCTTTTAAACACTTCAATTTTAGCCAGTAAACACTCCAGAAGGCACAATTGTTGACAGATTTAAATCACAAATGTTCATAATTAGTTAAGAAAAAATCAAAAATCAACAAAATCAAAAAGATATTTTGATATGAATTATTGCACTTGTTTATGCTGATCCGTCACATATAAGAATGGGTGTCCCAACAGTCTGTCGAGCAGTTTTCTGCGGCAGTGATAAATAGAGATCTTCAAGTTGCTGTCTTACAATCATCTCTAATGATTTTGATTCCAACTGGCCAAAGGATTTTCTTCAAATGCACCAGAAGCAACACTATCAAAATGACCAACAATATTTCTGTGTCTACTCCTATAATCAGCATAACAACCTGACGAAGGGAAGCCTGTTCACAAAATAAAACAAAAAAGTTAATCACAAAATATCATCAGTAGCAGACAAAATTTAATTTTCAATTAATAAAAATGAAATATATAATATGAAAATCACATTTCATACAAATGTCTGGGGGAAAATATGAAAAATACACAACATGTATGAAAAATATTAAATTTTCTTAAATAAGACAGGGGGAAAATGAATAACAATACTTTGTGATGAATATTAACAATTTGTCTAACCATTTTTCTCTAAGTTACTTACTCAAACTACAATAGTACATTTTATTTTTAACAATTACAAAATACTGAAAAACAGTGCAAACTCGTAACTGTAAAAAGGAAAACATTATGAACAATTCTGGAAATGTAACAATGGTTTTAAGGGATGTTTGGTATAATAATGATACAAATAGATTATAAACATGAGATAATGCCTTTTAATCCACTTAAATATAAAAGCAGTATAAAAAGCTATTAAAATGCAATAATTTATGCTTTATAAATAATATTATGTTTACAATGAATAACAGTCTTCGGACATGAATACAGTGGACATACATAAGTTTAACTGAAACAACTCGAAAATTTTTACTAACACTTATACGGTTTGTAATAAGGTTTTCTGACCTTTATAGTATGCATTAGAGACGCTCAGAATTTCTATTTGCATCATACAATTCATTTGGGATTTTCTTTTGAACAAAATCAAGAGTTCCAAAACTTATTTAGCAAATTGAATGGATGCACATGGAAGCCTGTGTAAAATAAATGTACCAAATGTAAAGGCCAAAATTCCTCTGTACAATTCTTTAGGGTGATGCAATAATCATACTTTGATAAATGTTCTTTCATACACACATATATAATTCTGACCTCAACACACAAATAGGTAAGGTTATTTGTTCAGATCACAAGTCCCAAATAACATCATCTGGTCAGTATCAAGGTATTTTCTTTACCAAAGTTATGAAAAACAAATGAAAAAGCCATGATCATGGGATGATGTTATCTCTGAGTTTCTGTGCCAGGGCAAGGAAGGAAAATTGTAACAACCCCCAACACCTACCAAAAACAACTGTTTGAACTTAAGTTTGTATTGCATTGACCTAAACGGTGAGATGGTATTCCACAATTACTGTATATAACAGTGAAGGAGAGAGAGAATGAGGCCAGGCACTAGGTGAGCTGCTGATGTATTTTAGTTAAGATACAGGACATTATAAACAATGATTATTAAACACACTACACTCTGTATCAAACACACACTTCTGTCATGTATTCAAATCTACAGAAAAATAGAAGTGTGCAATGTTGAAAAATGCCCTTTTTAGATAAACATGCATTTGCATACTGGTCTTTGAAGACTACTTCAATGAATGATTTAGTTACTGTACAAGTTTTCTGTGATATCTTGGTTTACAGAAAGTGACCAGAAACAGAATAAAGTTAATATTGCATCTGTTTGTGAACAGAGATTTAAAACATATGCCTGAGAAAAAAAATGAAATGTACGAGTTCGGACAGCGTAAGATGAAGCTAAGTGTCAGTGATCCAATATTTCCCATAGACAGCTAGCTAAAGCAGTCGACGATTCTACAGCACTCATAGTAACATAACTTATCTGAGGTTCTTTCTTCTTTATTTGACTGAAAAAACATTACAATTTTCAAATCAATTATATTCAGAAAACAAATAATCCAGATAGAGTAAGTAAAACTAAACTAAAAGTAGTTAACATCAATTGTAACTTGTCAATTATCACAAGTAAATTTATATTGCTTTTAACAGACTGATAATTTGCACTCAACAGTAGTACTGGCTTTAGTGTAAAAAAGTTGCATTATCATTTGTCAAAAGGACAAAGAGCCAAATCCTGTTCTTAGTCTTGAAAGTTTTTGACAGTTACAATAGCTATAAGAGGTAGTTGGAAAGGCAAAGCACAAGATACTAAAATATTTACCTTCTTCCAGTTGGAGAATAACGAGCAATATTCCTGAGAATTAAAGCAGCAGTAAGGCGAATGTGTTTTGTTACAGGACCTTCTCTTGTTTCCTAAAATGAAATCATTAATACTGATGAATTTTTGATGGTATTATATTCATAGAGTAAGACATAAAGAAATTAAATGAAATGGAGTTTTACGTCCTACTCTTCTGCACTAAGACATAAAGAGTTACTTTTCATGGCAGTTGCTTCAATCCATATTTTGAAGGGTAGTAAGTCATATTCAGAATAACTTTTGTTATAATTACTGACATTACTGGATATTCTACGTTGACCCTATGCCCAACACGGTACCACAATACAGTTCAGGGTTAGACTTTTCCCTTTCCTTCAAGGGCTCTTAATGTCTATATTCACTTGCATACAATGCAATGAAATAGCTGCATTTACAAACTTTCGTGAAACAAGAAAGATGGCAATTGCAGTCAAGGTATGCAGTTTGTAATAGCTGGACATTGTGAAGATGTCTCACCATTAGAAAAACATTTGTCAAGTATTAAAGATGGCTGTTAAAAAAATATTGTAATGTATCAAACAACCTATAAAATACTGTATTTACAATACTGAAATACTTACAAAAAATTCTGGAAAGGGTGGTTTCACGAGAAAACGTTTGATAGCTTGCATAGCGGCATCATTTGGATACACCAGTGCATTCTTTCCATCAGATTTACCATCAATACCAGTAGCAGTAGTAGATGATGTTGGTGTATTATTCACTGCTGGACACTGTTGTTGAGGTACTACTGGTGATGGTTGTTGAACAGCAACAACAGGTTTTCTAGCTGCAGGAGTAGAAGTAGTTGGTTGTTGACGTTTTGAAGCACTCACTCTCAAAGCATTTTCCGAGCAATGATGATCCTTGAAGAAAGAAAATATGATTCCTGACAATACATACTTTTTTATTCAAGAGCGATCAATTCCCAGTGAAAGTTTGGCTAGAGCTCACCAACATATCACAGCATTTAAAAGCAGCCAATAGAACTATATGCTGATTTCCACATGATAAATGATCATAGTGGTGTGCCAATTACAAACAAAACTCTCAAAAAATATTGATTATTATGATAATAAATGGTATAATTGATAAACAGCTAATCATAGAATTGCATAAGTGAGATCAGAATCATCTTCTAAATGGCTTACAATCTTGAAAATCATATGACAAAGTAGTGCTAATATGTCAATGTAAAGAAGCTTGTTGCACAAGACACAAGGATTGTTCCATTCGTTACCAACGGAGATTCAGGTCTACAGAAACTGCTGAGAGATAATGAATGATTTATGAGCTGTTAAATAGTCGAAGTCAAAACAATATCCATGAAAACTGCAATCTACATATTCAAAGAAGATATTTTAGAAAAATAAAAAGAAAGGGAGATCATCTGTATGGTTTATGCTTACCTGTAAATGAGTGATCAGTGACCAACGCTGACGTTTAACTTGTGGACATTGTGACCATTGACAAAAACCATCAGTACCAACTAATGTGTGAGTTTTAACTACATGATGAAAAACAGATTTTGCATTCTCAAAACACCTAGAAATAAGAGACGAGCACAATTACTTAATGGTAGATTATTGAGTTCCTCAATGATACCTAATATAATCTGAGGTTCTCATGATTATGTTGATGAGATAGCTGAAGAGACAACAAGTTTGTCCAATCCATGACAAAATTGCCTTCCAGATTTCGTCACAAGGTCTTATATTTCCTTTCTCTCATCATCAATCTTCTTTGAAAACAGCTGATCTCTCACTGTAAACTTAAGACAATGTAATTCATTGGATTGAAAACAGTAGAGCAGTATAGCTTCTGTCTTTTTTTAAGTCCTGCACAAAATTTCAAAATCATAAAAACAATTTTGTCATGGTAAAAGCTCTAAAAGGCAGTCTCTGCTGACCATTTGTTCAATTACAAAAAATTACTTTCTGCATTGCATTTTAAGAAGAGGAATTTTATAAATCATGGTATTTCAAAATGGTTCAAACTAATGGTCTTCGCTTTAACACCAGTTTTTGTAGTACTTTTTTTTTTTGCCCACCAGGCATGAAGTGTATGTCAATTGCAAGAAAGAATAATGTATTTCTTTATTTTAGTTGACTTTTTGCTTTCACTTCAATATTTTTTTAAAATAAAAATAACAGTCCATACCTGTTACAACCAGCCCATTGACACTGAAATTCTATTTGTTGTGGTGTTGGTTGAGTAGGTTTAGTATCTACAGTAGTTGTTGTAGTAGATACTATAACAGATGTAGTACCAGTCGAACTTTGTCTTCGTTTCCTACTTTTCCCTTTCTTCTCTCCACCCACACTACCAACGACAGCAGGTTTATCAGCTACCTTACCAATTGGCTGAGCAACACTAACAAACACTGGTGTGGAATGTTTTTCTGGGACAGATTCTGCTGAGGAGGAGGCAAAACTGTCTGAGCTAAGTTCCCCATCCCTAGTTTCTGGAGTAGGAACATGTCTTATAGTTTCACAAATTTTTCTATCATCCATAATGCTAGATTGAATTTTGATCACAGCAGGTGATACGTCAGCACTAACAATAATATTCATCAACTCTTTTGGTACTTGTGTAATTTGAGCTTGTTGCCCATTAACAATTGGAATAGTTGGTGTAGACCTTAAAGCACTAGCAACCATATTACCATTGTGGTTTTGAAACTGGATATTGGATATGGTATTCTGGCAATTTGGTTCATTTAGAACAGTTTGATCAACATCCATACTTTCTTCTTGATCACCATTTCCAATATGATTTGTTATTCCATTCATTTTGGCTGCTTTCTCAATTATCTTAGATATATCTTCTTTAGGAAGAGGTTTTATAGGTTTATCACTTGAAAATGAGTCTAAAGAGTCATCAGAAATGCCATTTAATAGTCCACTTTGTATGTTGTTTAAACAAATAGGAGATGGTGGGAGGTCTGATTCTAATGATAATGGAGAAGAGACATTACCATTCACAAGTTTGATATCATGTAATTTTTTATCACTGATCACAGCATCTCCACCTTTTAATCTATTATTGTTTGATATAGTTTCACTATCTAATACCTTGTCCTCCTCTAACCCTGGATTTCCATTTATTTTCACACTCTTATCACTAGGGAGGGGACCATTTTCACTAAGTGACCCACTCAGAGACGTGTCAATCTTGACATCATTACAATGGGAATGATTAGTAGAGCCATTTGTTTTTACTACACTGCTGGGCACTGATTGAATTGTACTCGAATGAAGAGATGTGGAACTAGACACTAAATGTTGTTGTAATAAACCATTAGAAAATTTATTAGTATTAGCACTACTTGTATTGTCTATGGAGGACGGAGTGATGTTGCTAGAGGCTGAATTACTGTCTTGTAAACCTTTATGATATACATTTTCAACAGTGCCTTCAGATACCTTAAACACTTCTGATTTACACGTTCTAGACTGAGAGATGTTAGTGGATGTTGGTTGTTGAAGAGTTTGTGAAAGAATTGTTGAAGTATTGGGATGATTTTGTGAAATGCTTTGTGGACTAACAACAGTATTAATAATGGGTGTAGAGTGGACTGCTGACACCTCTATGGGCACTTGTGTTGTTAAAGGCTGGTTGGTGATGATCTGAGATTCTTTCATTTGTGAAGTTTGAATGTTGGTTGCAGTAGTAAAGATAATATTATGTTGACCAGTAAAATCTCCTCCAGCTGTTGGAGCCAATATGAACTGTTGTTGTTGTTGAGCTTGTTGTACCAAATTCTCTACACTCTCTGGTAATTGTAAACCATGACTAGTTGTAGCACCAATTGGTATATTTTGTCTTCCAACTATATTTTGACTTAGTTTCTTAGCCAAAAGACTTTTGATTAGATTGGTGTCTGCTGATTTTGTAGTATCTTGTTCTAACAATAAGGCAGCTGTTTTCACCATAACTTGCTGGCCATCCCCTTGTAAAGCAGTTTGTATTGATGGAAATTGTGGAGTAGTCTGGATTATCTGTCCCTTTGGAGCAATTCTTGGTCGTTTAACTGGTGGGGTAGTATTCTGAAGACTGACTTCGATTTGGGTTCCTGGAGGCCTAGGCGCTTGACTGATTACAAATGTACTACCCAGCTGTAACTGTTTACTGGCTACTGGTTTTGGAGCAATAGGTCTTGGTGTAACTGGTTGTGTGACTTTTATGGAAGTTGGAGTTGCTGAGGAACCTGAATGAAGAATTGGTGGATGAATAGGATGCCTGGGCGGTTCCATTAGCCGCTGCCTGAGAGTAGGAGTAGGAATATTAGTGCCCACAGGAGATGAATTAAGAGCCTTAGAGCCACCTTGTAAGTTCACACTCACACTCATGGGCTGAGGCACTGAAAGCAAGAAACAAAAGAAATGTGCTACACAACACTAAAACTACTACATGAAATGATATTTCATTGCTTTACATCTTATAAAATTTAATTTGCCAAAAGTCATAAAATCAGTTACCCATATGGTGTATTTTGGTAAGTACAGAGGTCCAGAGGTACAACAGACACTCTGTGTATTTCTCAAAAGATAAAGATTATAAATGTAAAGCTTTGAAAGAAAAACACAACATATCAAAATAAATACTGCACATACACATTAGAACTAAGATATTAGAAAAAGACAGCAGATCACACCCAAATGCCAAACGCCAAATTTAGCATGAAGTTGGTAAAATTTGAAACTTGTGCAAAATTTCATGAAAATCGGCTGAATCCTAAATGAGCTATATTCACTATCCAGGATCACAGACGTTAGCATGGGGTTAACCCCCATTGGTTACTTTTAAATTTTTGATCAGTACCTACATACCGAGTTTTATGTAAATCATCTGACAACTTAGGGAGCTATTGATTTTTTACTATTTCAAATAATGAGGTAAAGCAAATGGATTGATCTTCACAATTGTTGCAAAATGATCACAGGTGTAAATATCACAAAGTTTAATATTCTGAAAACACTAAAATTTGAAGTTAATTTTCCTTTTAGCTCCATAAATTCTATAAAAACTGTAGATTCTGTAGCCTTCTTAAGTTAACATATGAAATTACTAGGGTCAACATTTCCAGGGTAAATATTTCAGATCCACAAAAATTCGAACTTAAATTTTCTGTTTATGCATACAGATACCACATTTAATCTAAATCTGTCAAATATACTAAAAATTCGAGAGGGTATTCAAGGAAATGGGAATGGACAGTTCTTAAAACAGACAGACATGAGTGCTGACAAAATACATCCACATAGAGGTGTGGGCTTAAAAAGCAATCCAATGTTTAAGAGAGTACATCCAGCATGCTTTCTGGAAAAAGAAAGACCTGCTTTGAGCAGTTTCTTTGAAACAATATCAATTTTATCACAATAAAGAATATCCAATATGATTTTATTGATATTAAGTTTACAAGCAAAAGATGGAGTTACACTCATTTCATATTTACTCAATGAAATAAATTAATTTTTTAATTTTGCATGCAATTGGTTATTTTAGATTGCTTAGAGGTTTTCTATAGTTTTTTGTGGAGATATATTTCCAGCTCAATTCTAGACTAATACACTTTGAATAAACACAATATAGTTCTTTTCAAGTATGATACTTTACTCCCATAGAATAATCTAGTAGACAGTGGTTTGAAACAATCTGATTTAGTTTCTATATATTTTTGGATTACTTCACTATTTCCACATTGGACACCTTTTAAACAGTAGCAAATGGTAGGCTTACAGAACAAATCCATAATTAAGCTATAGCCATAGTGTAGCATTGAATTGAAAATCAGTACAAATTCTTTGAAATCTGTATATGAGTAAGAAACCCATAGAAAAATTAATGCAAGTTCTCTGTAGCTGTAGTGAAATTCAAAGAAACCCACTAACCATAGAAAACTTCTCAACAATTATTTTACAAAACAATATGAACCCAGAAAGACATTCCAGAATGGTTAGTATCAAACTCAGAATTAATTAACATGCAAAATTGCATGCATCATCAAAAGAAAAATCACAACATATTTCAATCCATCAAATATTCAGTCCTTGATGAGGAAACTGAATTGGAATTGTGTGTACTCCTTCCTCAGGCAACAGGCTACGAAATAAACATGAATTTCTTCTTTGAGAAAAACAATTTTCAAATCGCACTATTGATTATGCACAAAATGCATTTCCAATTGTCATACATTGCCAATCATTGAACTAGCTTGTTAAAGAAAAGATGAAGATATATAAAACACCACATTTTCATCAGAATGAATCTTAGATTCTTCTGTATGTATAGGGCAATATATATGCAATATAGAAATAGGACATGTTTTATATCAAATTAAAAACAGATTTTATTTCCTGATTACCATATACTGTCAGATATCCAACACTTTTAAAAATACACTGTAATGGTGGCGCTCGATTGAAGAGTTTTGAACAGCTTCTCTGCCTTTTTGAATCCTGTCTTTTTTCCAACTTAATTTTTGAACTTCCAGTTTATTCCATTAATCGCAGAGGTGGAGATTTCAACAATTGAGCGCCCCTATTGACTACATCTATTCTGAATGTGCCACTGACTTGTTGAGAGAGATAACACAAGTTAATATAATCATAACTACATTATAGAATTCTGAATGACCAATATTGATGATATTATCATAATGATGAATTAGCTATTTGAAAATTTTAACTCAATGATATATCTCACAATCAAGATCATTAAAGATGGGTTCCCTTATTTTCATTTATGAAAATGAAAATTCTGGTGTTCTAATAAAAAATGGTGTTCTTGGAAAAGTACCACATTGTCTCACATAATTAATTCATAATAAGTCAAATAAGAAGAAAATTACTAAGCAGAATTCCAATGAGTGACTGATCAAGAAAGGTTAAAGTCTTTTTTTTGTTTATCCAGACTACATATATGGACAATAATGATTGGTTAAAACTCTTAATCATATGCAATAAGAACATATTGATGTGATTAAGAATGCATAATTCATTAGAAAAAACCAATTGATTTAATAGTTGCTTAATTTGACAATAAAAAATATAAGGAAACCCATCTTTAAAATGCTTCTTTTATTCAAAGCAATTCTCTTCAAATCATATTTTCCAGGATATATCAATTACTTACCAGTGGTATTTGTAATCATAAATGGTTTGGGATTAGCACGCTTACAAACACCTAGAAATACTATATCTTTATCACCAGATTCATTAGCTTTCATTTTTGTCTCACATTGTGGAAATGCCACCCTGAAATATTGAAGAATTGAAATATATAATGTGATTGAACTAATTGTGGTGGTTAACACTAGTTATGATGTGTATTTGAGGAAAATTTTGCCATGACATTGATCTACAAGAAAAACACATGGGCTACCCATTCAAAGCACTTTATATGCACAAAATTATATACCATCTTGTTCCTTTGACAGAATTGAAAAAGTCTAATGAATATTTGTTAAAGGGACAGTTGCGCTATTTTGGGTGGTTGATTTTAGCCTGAATATATGTTAAAAGTGTTCAGAATTTTACGAGTCGTCATTTTAACATTCAAATGTAGATAATTCTTGACACACATGCATTAGAAGGCTCAAGTTTCAAAGGTGAGCTGTGAACACTATTACTGATTGGTCTAGCTAAAAATTCCTGTTTCTGAAGTTTGATTGGTCAAAAGAAATGGCCCATCTGTCCCTTTAAGGAAATAAAACTTAACATCAGGAAGATACCATTTAAATTTCATTTTAAATTTATGACCACAATTAATCAGAACTTACTTGACTAAACGTAAGAAATCTGTCGAGGGAAGAGCGTTAGGTAAAGAAAATTTATGACAGAATTGCAAATATTCTGAAAAAAACTCTATCTGTTGCGTACGACCAATTCTTCTGGATTCATAACAACCTAACATCCTGAAATGATATATATTTATATGTTATACCTCCAATATATATTGTTCTAGTTTGGAAAAAAGAATTAACACACCAAGTACGAAATAAAACATCAAGTATAAAATAAAACATCAAGTATGAAATAAAACATCAAGTATGAAATAAGACATCAAGTATGAAATAAGACATCAAGTATGAAATAAGACATCAAGTATGAAATAAGACATCAAATATGAAATAAGATATCAAATATAAAATAAGATATCAAGTATGAAATAAGACATCAAGTATGAAATATCACATCAAGTATGAAATACAAATCAAGTATCATGTATGAAATAACACATCTTACACATCAAGTATGAAAATGACACATCAAGTACGAAAATGACACATCAAGTATAAAATAACAAATCAGATTTTAAATTAGGTGAAATGTCCACTTTAGGTTATAACTATCAAAGTAAAATAGCTTCAAATCGTTCAACAATTTAACCTTTATTATCAAAAACTTTATAAAATACATTTATAAGTAAAACATAATTCGACATCAATTTCAGTGAATTGACATTTCAGACTAACACAACTGTCAAATCTTTCTTACGTAAACCAGCTGTAAATAGTTGCTTTGAGTTATGTTCAATCTACAGAAATAGCCATAGAGCTTCATTAAATATTAGACAATATTCTATTAAAGTGATACTATGTCTTAGAATGAACATAAAATTTAAGTTCTCAAGAATGGTCAATATGAGTTTATATTCATCAGTGAACTTTCATAGTGTCATAAAGTTACAACAAATTCCCTGTAAAATCTGGAAAATTGGAAAATTCATAAAACTAAGTAATTATTGAAAAACGCTTAATCTTAATATTAAGCGTTTTTCAATAGTTAATTGCATATTTATGGTGATAACTAAGTTTTTTAGATTTATCGGATTATATAAGGATCATGTTATGTTATTTATGACACCAGGTATATCTACTAATGAATATATGCTCTTATTGACCAAGTTTAAAATTCTTAAATTTTATGTTCATTCTAAGAGGCAGTATCATTTAAAGATACATTGTGTCAGTACTGGACAAAGACAACAGATAAGCCATAAGGTTAGTAAATATTAAAACTTACCAGCTTAGAGTAGTGGCTTCCATATCTGTAACCTGAGTGGATTTATTTGGGGCTGACATTGTTGATGATGTCTTAGCTGGCGTGGTTGGTGGGGTAGGAGTTGGTATGTTGACACTAACAGGATTTGCTATTGGTGTGGATTGAATCCCTTCAACTTTGCCCTCTTTTCTAGCAGTGGGTGCAGGTACATATTCAACAACTTTGATACCAACCAATGAGTTAGGACCGTAAGACTGGGCCTCCACTGTTATCAAATCTATCAGGATGTCTGAAAATAGCAAAGATAAAAGATCATGAACAATGAGTTGTCTGAGAAGAAAAAAAGTTTCAACACATGAAAAAAAATTCAAATGAAATGAAAGGAATAGAATTTGTGACTTCTTTTTCTGACCTAATTTGGTTGATGAGGCAAATTTTGTCAGGTCAGCCCTGATCTTTTTTTTATTTTCAACTGTCAAGAGATCTTGAATGTGTACAGCCTATAGTGCACAGGGCCTTGACTGACTAAGAGACTTTCTCCATGTCAGCCCCTCCGACCTGCATCACTGACAAGGGGAAACTGGGTGAAAAAATACATCGACCTATGCTGGGATTGAAGCCTGTACCTTTAGGTAAGCGAGTAAGCCTCTGAGTCAAAAATTTCTAATGATATAAAATACAACTGTTGATGCTGTTCACAATCATATAAATGCCATAAATCCTATTAATAATAATTTAATCCTATTAAATCCTTAAATAAACATTTGATGTCATATCATACTGTTACTCTTAAGTTCTTTCTTTTAGGTAAGTTTATATTACTAAATATAATGCACCTACCCACAGCATTTCTAACTTGTACTATTTTATTAGTTGTTGTTTCACCTAGTTCTGAGAGTTGATATAAAGCTTCTAGTGTATGTACTATTAACTGTATATCATGTACTGTTAATAATCTAAACACATCATCATATGTTTTAGATAATAATGTTTCTGTTATATAACTTTCATTAGCTTCAACTTGACACAGTTTGCCTAGTACTTCTAGTGCTGAAAGAAAAAAAAAAACCTTATAAATTGATTTAAACTCTTTATACTTTTCAGCCATTTATTTGGCGAATGAAATGGGTAACAACAGATTTTGAAACTATAAATCATCTTCCTTTTTTTTTAACCTCCCACACAAAATAAATATTATCAACCGGGCTACGCTCTGACTTCACTGCTTTCCGAATTGAATTTGGTTAATCATTTTCACCTGAATTGAAATATCAATTACAAAATACTACTGAGAATCTTGGATTGCCTTTGGGTTCATGAAAATGTCAACAACTGTAAAAGTTAATATTTGTTAACAATGACTTTACAGAGGGGAATTTTCAGTCCGAAAAGACAGTCTCTTTCACGTGAATTTTCTGGGAGGAAAGTGTATCTATTTCAAAAATCACTAAACCTTATTTTTCTATGGAACCAAACCCAAAATTTTGTTAGGAGTATTGATGAAACGAGAGAAAAAATTCAATACAAAGATCAATGTAGTGGGACAGTAGGTGAAACATCCAGGTGCAATCAGGTATTTGGTATGACGAACGAACATCATTTGCTTCAGTAATTACGAAATTTACATTTCCAAGGTGCTCTATGTAGATGGACTCAAGTTGACACACCCAGGTATTAATGGCATAAAGTCATTTGATGAGTATATATGCCTTGCCTTAGTTATCAATATAGTGGATGTAAGTCTTTAGGCATAGGACTCCATCTGGGGCCTTATTTTCGCAAGCTTAAGTAAGATCAAATCTAGATTTAAAGAAATACAGTAATCTGATTGGATAATAAAACTTAACTTAAAATTGATTTTAGTGATTGACCAATCAGATGACAGGAACAGTCAAATCATCTGAAGTTAAGTTTTCAATGAAAGGCCCCAAATCATAACTCTATGATAAAATTAACAAAGCAGGAAAGAGTAAAGAAAATACTATACCAACCTCTTACAACTGTTATTTTATCATCAGCACAAAATGATTTAGTAATAAAATCTAGTATTAAATTAGTTCTATGATTTCCTATAGAATCGAGCACCATCTACAAGTAAATAATTGATGTATTAAAAATCTTTTTAAAGGCTTAAATGGAGCTTACAAATCATATCACAAGAAAACTTCCCAAGAAGTACCATCACTATTCTATTTGATAGAAAATAAAAACTGGATGTTTGGTTTCATGTTTTTTCTGCAGGTTACTACATAGATAGAAACACAGTTGGATAAATCTGAACAACTATATCATTGTTATGCACACTGTTAGACATTGTTCATCAAAACAAAATTTGTCATCATCATAAAAATGTCAACTTTTTCATCAAAATATCTATATATATCAACCTAAGTTGTCAAAAAACTAAAAAAAAAAAAAAGTGTACTTACTTGAGCAGCTAAATTTCCCAAAGTATCTAAAGCTAATTGCTTCAAAGATCCATAAGTACTATGTACACATAACATTAAAAATCTACAAATATAAAACAAAAAATTATTTTTCGTGCTCCTGAAACTACATCATTTCTCAATCCTATTTTATTTCTTAGTAAATATACACATTTTTAAAGAGAATTTCAAGCCAATTACAATCAACCAAGAGAAAAGTTTAAAGACACTTACTTAAAGACAACAGCATTTGATGCCATTAGTTTCTGATTAATATCTTCAAAAGATAAATTTCTTAACAAGACAGCTAGCTAAAAATTAAAAAAATCAAATATATGAATGTCAGGTTTCTCTCATATTTACTACTTTGGAGATTCATGAAAATGAAGAAAAATTGTTGAAAGCGATTTTCACAACTTCTACGACTTTCAATTTGACTCAGATGTGTTTCGTCTTTGTTGACGATGTCGAAAGATTTTCAACACAAAACTATATTAACCCTCCGTCCATCTTACTTGGAATATTGCCTGCACGGTCGCCACTTTAGCACCTTTCTGATTTGCAAGAAAGTCAATACAAGTATAGAAGATTTGTGGAAACTTTCTGTGCAGGGTTTAGAGTGGGTTTTTAATATCTATTCTAACAAATCAAATCTTTATATAACTTTTTTTTCTAAGCAATCAACCAAAATCACAGAGAGAAATGAAACATAAAGTAAAAAGAAAACCAACCTGAGTGACTCTTTGACCTTCAACACTATGAACACCTATATTATGACCTAAATGTAGTACTTCACTTCCAGTTTTCTCTTCTGTAAAATGATGAAATGAAATGAATTATAAAAGATCATGAGGAAATGAATTGCATAATCTTAATACATGTTGCTTCCACTTGGGTGAAACACCATAAAATCCTCCATAAGAAAGAATATATTATGGCCGATTAAACTTTTGATGGTATTTATCAGATATTTATCAAATAGAAACATCCGAATTGTTTCAGTACATAAATTTTTTTTTTTAAATGAGAATTTGAATAGCAGTTTCAAAATATTACTGTTAGTTTTGTGTATTATATCTTCAAAATTTGTTTTTACAGAGGACAAAAATAAGCCAAAATTTGGGACTTTTTGGGTTGAAATTTCTTGAAGAGAAATGTGTTTATGAATGTAAACATACAAAATAATACATAATTTTATCAATAAAAAGACATTCTCAGACTAACAGTACTATTTTGAGGCTGATATTCCAATTCTCTTAATAGTTAAAATTAAAAAAACAATTTGCTTTGCTCAGACAATAATGTAGGACATATTACTGCTCAAGATAAATTATAATTATTTTGAGTAGTTTGCTCAAATTGTAACAGTTTGATATGGAAATTTGTTTGAAATTTGCCTAAAAAAAAGATAAAATATACATCATATAAAGGAAAGAGTAGCTAAGTAACCATCTCGAGTCCCGTTCATTCTAAATTATTGATTAGGACTTACTTTGAGTATAAATTTGATCATTCATTGTAATTAATTCTTTAATAACTGGATCATTAACACTTTCATACCAAAACTATATAAAACAAGATTAGAAATTATAGACAAAATTAACACATCAGCTTGTTGGTAATTTATTATTTGGGTTCAGCACCCTATTCTATTTTGATTAATGATGTCAAATGTCATTGCTAGCTTGAGAATGGTCAAAGTTGCGAAACAAAGAATAGTCAAGTTGCATATTTCTGTTCTATACGGTGTAATGAATGATACAAGTACCTATAAAAGCAATGACCTTGATCTTGAAGCGAAGTCACTTGCGGTGATTAATCAGCAGAATTTAGTTCAGCGATCTTTTGTTTTCATGCGATTTGACCCGGATTATCAATAAAATAAGCGATTATCTAATTGGCAATAAGAGATTAAGATGTGTAGATGTTGGATTGTACAGACGCTTTTGAGTGTCAGGACCACTGATTAGTGTCGTAATTCGGAATACACAGAATGTCGAGTACTCAGAGTTTTTTTTAAACTATCCTAAGAAGGAAATCAATTGGGCCCAGAAAATGATGTCTGATTACGCAGAATGTCGGATATCACACAGTACATTGTACGATGTTTTACTGGTTTCTTCAATTCCAATGGATCAAAAAAACTCCCTTTTCTTATTAGAAAATTTTATTGAAATATTAATTTGTTGTGTGATAAAATAACCATTTATAGGCATTACTTTGGCTTATAAGAAATATTGCCAGTATACATCAATAGTTTCAGGTGTTAATATAAAAGATATTCCCAGATAAGATGAAACAACTTAATTCAAAATTGTTTATTTTATGAAATGCATTATCTGATATCAAATCAACTTACCCTTAAAAAATCTCTATCAGTGTATGGAGACCAACCATGATGATATAAATCATACAAAGATTCATAACCTATTAAACATAAAATATAATTTAATCCTAAGAACATCCATTTGTCAAAAAACCTTTAAAAGGAAAGTCTCAGAAACAGGAATTTTTTTAGTTAAGTTAATCAGTTAATAGTGTTAACAGCTCACAGTTGAAATTTGAGCCTTCAAATCCATGTGTGTCCAGAATTATCCGTGTTTGAAAGTTACAATGATAGCTCTTCTTTTCTTGAGACTCAATCATAGAAAAGACATACACAGTAAGGTTATAGAAAGTGAAATTCCTAGTTTGATTTTCTTACATGTCTAGTACTTCTGAAGAGTATATTCAAGATCAAAATCAACCATCCAAAATGGTGAATTTGTTCCTTTAAACATACTAAGTAAAGACGGTATTCTCAAGCAAACTTTTGATGTATATCTGCCAAATCAGTAACTTAAATCTCAAAAAATGCTACTTAACACCAAATATATGTAAGATTCATTTTTGTTTATTTTAACAGAGCATCGATTTTTTCAAAAAGGAAAAATAAAACAAAATATTTGTGCTTACCTTGATTGAATACTCCTATATGGGCTAATAATAACTGTAATAAATGTTTAGCTTTGTCCAAACGTAAAACATGTCTGCCTTCATTAGATAATAATGTACACACATTGATAGCAAAATCTACTTCATTGGGTAAGCCTGAGAGTAGAGCTTTCTCTAACTTATCATAATCATTAGGTTGTACCAAGTCTAGACAGAAACCATTATTTTTGCGAAGTAAATCTGAAAACAAAATGTTTTTCTAAATAAATTGTAAAGTAACGCAATTCCTAGTTCTAAATCTAAAAAATTTCATTGAATTCAATATTTTTTTATTCCAAAAGTCAATTAGATCCATTCCATGGGAAAGGCAACTTCGAATATGATTGTATTGAAAGCTATTTCAAAATACGAAAGATCCTTTTTAGAAGCTTTGGAAGGCATTTCAAGCGTAAGCAATTAGATGAAACACATGAGGAAGTCTGAGATCCCTGTTGTTTGGACACTCATTTTGCCTTCTACTTTTTGGTTTTAATCTTCTTATGGCTTTTTTAGATCTATGTTTGCATTTTTTTATTAAAATGTGTCAATTAAAAAAGGTAACTGAAATGATAACTATCTTAAAGGGATTGTAAAGGTGTTTACTAAATTTTTAATGTGTACCAGAGACACTGATAGCATCAATTGGCACCATTCCAATTTTCAATCAGGTGTCTGTGGTTCCTGAAATTCCACTAAAACTAAGTGTTTCATGACAACACTAATCGCAAAGGGCCTTATGTGATAAAGTATATTTTGAGATTAGTGATGTCATTATTTTTTTAATTTCTTCGTAAACATTTATTTAGCATTAGCTTAAACAATAAAGGTGGCCCCTGAAATGACATATATTTATACATTTGAAATAAATCATCTTAAATCTACCTGGTATTTGATGTTGTGCATAATTGTATTTTAATGGTACACCATAGAAAGGTCCTGGGTTCTTTTTTCTGTGTCGATTTGCATCATTTTCAGTTTCTTTTTGATCAGGGTCTTCTCCCAGAAAATTCAACTTTTCATATAAATATAAAAACCTGAAATAATCATTAATTCATATTAAGTCTTATCTATGGAATAGTGAATAGATTAACCTTTATGACATTGTATTGATGTCAAATATCATTTTCTGATTCACAGCGTAGAACATTTCATTTCAGAGTTTTTAACATTTCTTGATTGGCCAAGACAGGAATACATGTTTTGCCACACAGTCTGTGTTTTCCAAGATATTGTTTCTGTTCCAAATTAAATGGTTTCATCAAAAAGTTATATGTGCGTATGGAAGTCATTCAAGCAGTTGCCAAGACAGGTATGCCATTTACCCATTCAATTTTAAGTACCGGTATATCAAGGGCTGTAAATCCAAAATAAAAAAATTCTGACCAAAAATGCAAATGGCCTTTTTTGCATTGAATAAGTATTTTCAATATACAGGGTTTTAACTATGGCAATGTTTGAAGTAAATCTTAATGTTCGAAACAATGAGGATATAATCCTATAATAAAATTGTTAAATATCTAACAAAAACTTTGGCTTCCATAGCGTTCACAAGCAAATTGTGGACAGATGGATACACTGATCAACTGTGTCTGTAATAAAACAATGTTTAAGCTTAATCCCTCCTCTGTTGACCTAATGGAAAAAGAATAAAAAATTAAAATGTTACAGAAATTGATAAATCTATGAGAAATGCCATGGTGACCATCATATCTAGCCATTGCTTGAACAATCCCATATTAACCGACATTAGAGACTAATAATCGACCATTGCAGATCGTATGTCACCATTTAATTTATCCAATTAGGAATCTTGCAACACCTGGTGTAAAAGGATGATGATTGCAAATGGCGGCAATTATCGGGAATGTTGCAGTTTCGCATCAACCCCCTTTTCGATAAGCCATCTATGAAACTTAACTAAAAGTTACTAACACATCTTCTTAATGTTCACAAAATATTTCAGAGCCTTTCAGAAGTAAACTTTCTACCAATCAAAATTAATGACGAAAACAAGGCAAAGTTCAAGCGGTAATATCGTACTGTTGCTAAAGGAACATGCATGTTATTGTTCAACTGGATGTTTTTTTGAAAAAACCAAGCAGTATAAAGTTATATATCAACTTATTAGACAGAAAAAAAATAGCACTTGATCCTAATGGTCATGTACAAAATAACTCAATAATTTTATAGAAAAATAAAAGTTTCTTTTTGATGTAAACAATTGTCATATTGTCAGATCTTGTCTTAGTTTCAAACATTCTTGGTAATATTTTTATTGATTAAATTGATTGAACATATTATGTTTTTATACACTTACATGGATAGATGATATCAGTAAAATTCAAATTTGGAAGAACTAGTTTACACTTTATAAAAAAATGTCAAATATGTCTAGACACGAAGGAGGCTACAATATTTATCAGATCTAAGTGAGGCTTGGTATGCACTATGCATACGTATAAATGCTTCAAATTTGGCTTGTAGAAAAATATAGAGACTAGCTTTTATCTGTTCTTAACTTAACATTGTTTTCATATGTATAGATTGATGATATTTCTGTCAAGATTGAATTTGGCTGTAAATCGATGAATATTTTCTTTAATTATTGCCCTTGACATAAACAGTATCAATTTGGCGAAAGAAGCTACAGTTGGCTTTTTATTAGCCCTTATTTTCAACATAGCAACTTCAGTTAGGGTCTAACTACAGACCTCTTGAACATCAGTCAAATTAACCGTTAACCTGATAAATATCGTCACAAAATGACAGACTGGAGAGGGTAGAAATTTGATTGGTTAAAGCAGATGTCATTGAGTTAGGTCAAAAGGTTAGTTTGACGAACGTTCAAGAGGGCTGTAAGACCCTTTAGGCCCTAGCACATCAAGGGAATTTGTACCGCACCAAGAGCACCCAGCCCACTACTCCTTGCACACAATGCGCCTTTCACTCAGCACTATTCTTCAGTTAGTACCAGATCTTGTATGAATCTGGTATGAATCATTATTTTGATGATATCTCTATCAATTTCAAAACATGTAATTTTGAGTTGCCTTCGACTAGACTATTTATCTCATGTTACAGTAGATCTATTCACATCATTTATGTGAATATGTATTCAAAAAAGTGATTTAGTTGTCCTGCACTTCCTAAACAAAGTCCACAAATAAAAAAAACAATAATACATGTTTATGATTCATAAAGAACTAAATGAAAAAGTTGTGAAATCTGAATACATACATTGTAGACATTCAGACAATTTGAAACTCAAGACAGTGCCTTCAAGATTTTCTAGCCAGGTTTCTATATTATATAATGTCAGTGATCAATGAAAGTCGCACCATGGATAAGAGTTTCAGAGTAATATCAGATTTTTGTGTATCACATTATAGACAGAAACATAAGTTCAAGCTACTAAATATCAATAAATGAAGAGAAAATATTTAAGCTCAAAAGTGGGACTTAAATCTGCCTCTGGCTTCAATAGGAATGATTTCAGATGTTTGTGAACCATTGCACTTCAATGTACTATATCCTAACACAATTTATTACTTTTTGTCATAGAAAGTTGACTTGCTATAACCAATCAAATTTCTACCCTCTCCAGGGCTGTGACGCAGTGCTTATCAGGTTAGGATAGAGGTTATTTGACGAATGTTCAAGAGGGCTGGGGCCTTATTCTCCAAAACTTAACTAATATAAAATCCAATCTGATTGGATAATAAAACTGAATTTAAAATCAATTTGAGTGATTGACCAATCAAATGTCTGGAACACTAAAATCATTTTAAGTTCAGTTTTCGAGAATAAGGCCCCTGGTGTTTACCCTCATCAAAGTGACTATAATAAAAATAAAAGCTGATAAAAAAAACGAACAAAATTATTTGGTCTAATTTTAATTAGAATGATGACATAGGCAACACTGTTTCCCAATCTATTTCAGTTTATGAATAAAATATTGTTCATACAAAAAAGTGTCTATGTTGGGCCGGGATAACAAATGAAGCATCACCTTCCAAACTGCCCAAAGGTGATGTAAGGAATCCATATATTTGACTAATTAACTTATAATTAATTACACTTTAGCTACAAAATAATCCTACAACAACAAGGAATATAAGCTTATCATTTTTCTAAATATGGTAAAAAAATCAATTAGCTAACTCACCTAACATAAATAACTTTAAGTCCTTGATCTCCATTTGAACATGCTGCTGGTATACCAAATTCTGCTTGAAGTTCATCCCACTTGAGTTCATTACAAACCTACAGTACAACATAATGATATCTTATTTCCTTTACATATGAAGTCATTTTAATATCTGAGAGGAATAAAACATATTAAATATATACACCCACATTTAGTTATTTCTATCTATATATACAAGCTTATCCTTCCTTCAATACAAATTGAGACAGAAGTACTCTACTGACCTCTTTATTACTTAATGAATACAATATCTGGGTTATGTCTGTGGTTGTTCTAAATATCACACTGAAATACCTAGTTCTGTTACTATATTTAGCTACAGAGTGGGTATTCCCCTACCATTAGCTACAAGCTGGATGAATATCATCAATGAAGTTCATTGAGTCAATAATCAATAGAGAGTAAAGAGGAGATCACAATTTGTCTTCTTCCAATCACAATAGAATTTTGAATACTTCAGTTTGAATTGGGCTCAATCCCTGACTCAATAATGAGTAATTTACAAATTTTCTTTCCAGTTTTATGAAATTTCATAATTCAGAATAGGTACATCCATCAGTAGTGATTTGAAAGCATTTATCATATACATGCTCTATGAACAGAATTTAGTGTTTATAGTGCTATATCTGGTTCAAAATAGGATTCAAATCAGAATAATTAAATCACGATTCCGTTTACACAGTATCACACAATTTGATTGGATAACAGCAGTCACATGCATTCCGTTTATATCTGTGTAAACGAAACGAAAATATAAGCTCCGCCCCTTAACAGACTACTTTTATCATTGAGTTTGATTGACGTGGCCACTACATGGCGTCGGATTTCATTCCTTCGAACATCAACAGAGCCGAAATCGACACATCAATGAATGCTATAGGTATTTTCTAAATTCCCTCAAATATGCACATTCCAAATTCCAACAATATCATGAATTCTGGAGAACTTGTCTTTCAATAATTGAACTTTCGATTTGGCTGCATCGATAACTTTCATATAGTAGACAGTAGACTATAAATAGGTGACCTACTTATTGCTAATTGGCTGTTCTCTAGGAAGAAAAAACCTGTGTACACTTGCGTATAAACCCGTACGCGGATTTATACAGTGTACACAGGTTATTTCTGTTTATACATCGATAAACTGAAAAAAAGTTCAGGTCATTCCTTAATTCTTAAAATCCTGTGTCCATTTGTGAGGTGTAAATGACTAATGTAATATAAATTCCTAGCATCTAATTGATATTCTCAACAGAATTTAGACAGTAGAACGCACAGATTGTAAACTTTATAATTTCTGGATCGCGTCAGCTGGAATATCTTTTTCAGAATATCTTTTTATCTAATTAAATTAGATCTGCATATCGTTATCGTCCGTTCTAACAAAAAATAAACGACACCAAGGATAGACAACTCTGTACAGTATTTCTTGTGTACTGACAAGGACTCACTCCTTTAATTCATTTGCCATTTCTTTCCATGTTAAATCACAAAATTCAACCTTCTATAACTTTTTTCAGAAATATTGTTGAAAACTTTCAAAATGTCACATGAAAGCCTGGCCAATATTTAGTTTTTAGACATGGAATGCTTTACAGTGTTATATATAGTTTCTCTTTGAATTTTTAAAATGGGTGACATTTGAACTGCTTTTTAGACTTGGTGAAATCTTGCATTTCTTATTACCAATCATTTTGAATGTCAACAGTTTTAATATTATTTCTGATACCATTCATAAAATTGATAAATTACTGGAATTACTGGTATTTTATAAGAAACCTTGTTTTTGGATGTCAATGGAGAACTGAAACAAATATCTTAAAAAACAATTGTAAAATTTGCACAGGAAACACTGTACAGAGTTGCCTTTCTTTGGGGTAGGCACATATTCTACTTTAATAACCGTAATATTCAAGGTACTAAAAGATATTCTGAAAAAGATATTCTGGATGACATGATCCAGAGATGAAGTTATGAAGTTTACAATCCGCGTGTTCTACGTTCTACAAAGTCTGTAGTCCAAATTCTATTCTAGAAAGATTAAAATAGAAAAAAACAATTAGATTCAACAATAAAATATATCACATATATTTCATAAGATTAAATTATTTCTGGAAAGAAAATTTGAAAACATTAAGTGTTTTATATATAGACTGGGGCAAAGATAGAGTTCTGCCACTTGAGACAATGAGCAAGTTGTCCTATGCCTAAAATACATCATTAGACAAAAACACATTTTAAAGCTTTCCGTGTAAAAACTGACAAAAAAGTAATGACTTTTCAAAGAACGTTTTCATTAATTTCTATAAATAGATCTATAACAATTTCAGACATTAAACGTGATCATTGTGAGGGATTTTTTCCAGATGAAGCACTGTTTTAGTCTGTTTGGTCGTTCAGGATTACAGACTGGTCAACGAAGTCAAATAAATAAAAACATTTTGTTAGATATGGTAATAAAATTCATTGGTTAACCGATAGTCACAGTTAACATTAAATGCACAAGTCAGTGTCAGAAATATCCCCACGAAGACTCTTAAGTTTTGATAATTTTCATGTCACAATATCACTTGCAATAATAATTGTGAAATATTAGAAGTAAAGATTCTATTCATTACCAAGACAGATTCAGCTTTACAGAAACTTGTGGAATATGCTGACAATTGAAGAGAAGCTTACAGTTTGTGTAATTGCATCATACATGACGACTCATTAGTCAACAAGTGACCTTACTCTCTATTTACAAATTTCATATTTTTACTCAAGTTCACATCTGAAGAACATATTGATAATTTGGCAATGTGTAAACAGTTTTTTGGTTTTAAGTCTCACACAAGCAAAAACCATCATCTATGTAATTTCACTATTTGAATATGAGACGAAGCTAAGTTTAAGCTTAGACCTATTCTGATTAGAATGTAGATCTGGAAGTTTTTTACACTGCTAATCATTGATTCACAAAATTCTCCTGTAATTCACATTATAAGCTTATAGAGTAAATGAATTTTGTTTTCAGCTTATTCCATTGATTGAATATTATAAGGCCCAGAAATGTAATCATGGATAGCAAGGGTAGTCTGGACCGGAAAAACAAGAAACATTGGAATTTGCATATTAATCAGATTGATGTCAGTCATCAAAATTACATGGTTGTTTGAACTATGGTATGTCACTTTAAAAATCATTTTAAAGACTGTCAGTACCAATTTGTAGCTATAATTCCAATTTACATAATTATATCTGTAAAATTTCCTAGTTTTATTAGTGTCCTAATCAGCAAAAGGAAGCCAAGGTGGTCTGAAGTCATTTCAAAGCTCATTGTACCTAGAAAGTAGCAATAACTTGTTACATTTCAGTTTGTTCATAAATAAACTTTATTACTATATAAAATTTAAAAAAAAAAACTTCTTCTACCAATAACTTTGTTGGATGTAGGGCTTAAGCTTTAGTTCATAGTTAAGTTGAAATTAGCATAATCTGCACCAAATGACCCAATTTACAAGCATGGAAAATTGAAAAAATAATGATGGGCACATAAATATTCCAGATATTTAGATGAAAATAGTCCCTAGTTTCAATACAGCACAATTCTGGCAAGCTCCAAGAGAAAATTATCTTTAAAATAAGTTTCCTACATTTATAACACAATAACAAATATGGCGTCGATAGCTATTAAAAATCCGGGAATTTTGCAGAGAAAACATTGCTTTTTCATTAAAATGCATAACGCAATGCAAGTATTTTGATATTTACATGTGATATTTGCACGTGTTGTCTGTTAATAGCGGTTACCTGGTCGTAAACAATGAGCCAGTTCAAAGAACTTCGCTGTATATTAACCGAGTCACACTATCTATCCACCCAAGCCGAGCTGAATAACAACGATGATATTGACGGCAGTGTCGGAGAGTAATAGTACTCGATTAAGTAACGAAAAACACACCTTACACCCATCCTCATAATACTTCAAAGTGTCCATCGAAAAGGAAATTATGCTGGCAATCCAATTTACTAACCAATTTTTAAAAAAAAATTACAAAAATTACCTTGCGCCAGCCTCCAAGTTCTACAACACGGCGATACAGGCGATGCAGATCTATCTCGCGGCCTCCAATATTTGGGATAATATCAAAGTGTGTTCTGCAAAACAAGACAACACAATTTTATAGTAAACCCGTGACCATAGTATGATTACTTAAAAAGAAAAAGTACTTAAAAGATAATCAAAACACATAATAGTAATCCTACTTACCCCCGACCGGAATGAAATCGTTGTAAATCCTCAAGAAAACTCCGCCGTTCCTGCTCGCAAACGGCCGATTCTTTGTTCAACGTGTTAGCCATTTTGATCCTTTACAGTTTATGAATACATTGAATTTATACACATTTAAGTTGTCTCATTATTATCTACTGTACTCCACATTGGGCCTAGTACATAAATGCTAACGCGACATCAATATCTCCTGCAAGGACACGCGAAGTACGGGTAAATCCTCGATAATTTGGGGATTCCACACAATCTGGTAGCTTCCAAAACCGTGGGTCTACTTCTTGGACACAATTCGCTATTGATATAACTGAGAAAACGCTAATCCCGAAACAATCACTGAAAAAACAATATGAATGCCCAACAAATTACCAAACCGAATAATTCCAAATCAAATTAATTGACCACATTTTCTTAATTCATAGTTATTTCAAGATATTCTGACAAAAAAGGATAATAACATGAATGCAGCGCAATTTCTTCCTAGAGGGGTCCAACAATTGCTCAATTGCCTCGATGTTGATATTCAATATGGCGGACGCCACAGATAGAAATTAAGGTTTCTGTTGGGCTATAACGACCTTTTCTATTGTACGAAAACATATTTCTGGATTTTGAATAAATATCAAATATTCAAAGAAGACTCTTATCTATTAATTCGATTTCTCTTTGTTTAAAACTTCTCAAAGTGTATGATATAAAAAATATTTGTATTCAAGAACGATAACTCTGAATTATTAGCATAAACCACGCCCACAAGTTGGTGGTTTTGTTAGGCTTTGATCAATATAAAATTTAAATATTGTGCCTAGCCTGGGACTAACTGAGCAGTTCGGAAATTGGTGCTATGCAAAAAAAAATTGTTAATGCAGTCGACAATATACATTTTAGGGAACTGTTTCAAATATTTAATTATGCGATTTTAATTATCCAGCACAGCATAGGCCTGAGCATAGACATAATTAAGCCACACGAGGATGAAACAGTACCAAAGGTCTTTAATTGGGCACTATTAGATGCCCAAAAAGTCGAATAAACTCTAAATTAGAAAGTATATCGTGTAAAATTGCGGTAAAGCAAAGTTTACAAATAGGCATAATATCTCGTTCAAATAGTTTGATTCAAAGAAAAACAAAGTTTGTAAAAAAAAAACTGAGAGACCAAGCCAAATCTAGGCCCATATTCAACATTAGACTACAGGAGTCAAAATCGCTAGCTCTATGTTGAACATAGTAAGCCAGTTGTAGACTGATATAGTTATTTTAATCGGAACCTTATCTAAAAAAAAACTATTTCTGATAGGCCTAGCCTAGTCTTTAAATAATTTTACAAAGATGAAAATAAAAACATCAACTTGAAAGTTGTTTTATTTTTTGGGCAAACAGTTCAGAAAACTATTTCAGGACATTTTGTATCGGTTGAAACTCGGAGGAAAGTGTGTTGTATTAGGGGCAGGTCCAGCCTACATAAATACAATAGGGCCTTATACTTTATATTCTAATCAGTGCCAGATACTTCTATCCACATACAAATTATCGGTAAAATTCGATTTTTCCACAATCGACTAAAAGGGTGTTGATAGATTAAATCTTTATACCTATTATCTTAGTTGGGTGATATTATTTGTCTCGTTGAATTGATAAAATAAAGCTAATTAAAGCTAATTCTTACAAATATTATCCTCGTTTTTTGAGAAAAACATATTTATTGACATTGAATGCAGAGTTAGACCTAGGCCCACAGTAAACACTGTCATTTAAAACGCTGAATTGATTTACTACGATCAGCTGATTTCTTTAAGCGGCAGTATGGTTAACGGTTAGGGGAATTCCCGCTATCCATGCCTCGAGTGAAGTATAACGTTATCGGAACCACAAAAATAGCACAAAGCTTGTGTTTAGTATAATATGTAATCAATGTCACGTGATATTGTCCTATTCGCTCTCTGGTTTATGAATGGGCTTATACTTAAAGCAACTGGCACACATGGTTGCACGGTTCACATAGTCATATATTATGATCTAGTTCACTAGAACAGTAGGTCTATATTTGATTGCATACTCGAAAGAGATTGAGGTTATGGATGCCAATTTGTTGTGTTAATAATCTTCATGGGTTATCACTTAGGACAGAGTCATTCTAACATTGAGCCCGGAATGTTATAACGACAAGATTATGTACATTACATACAGTAACAGAAACAAACATGCGGTTAATATAAAACTTACAAAAATATCCTTTGTACGAAACCAGCTTTGTGGTACCAAACCAACCTTGTGTGACAAATAAAAGGCTCTAAACTGGGATACTAGCGTATACGAATGGGCACTAAGTCTAGTAGGAGTGATATTAAAATAAGTCATCTAAAAAACAACGTATTGTTGCATAAAAAGCAATAAATAATTTCAAAATGTTCCGTGACAAAAAACCTGTGACCTGTTCCCTTTTGAGCATTAACTAATGCTTCTCTTCTCGTGGAGGAGAGCTCCTGTAAGTGTGTTTGTACAAGGAGTTCAAAAGATTGGGAGTGTACCAAGATGGGCTCTACGTTTTTATGTTTTTCTAAAACTCTGCCTCGACCCTATATTATCGAGGATGATTCAACTTACGGAAGCTGACGAGAGTTTGTGCATTATCCCTCAAATTCAGTGCTTCGAACATTTTTCAAGACAAACACCAGTGATAACACCCCCATTGTATACGAAGCTATAATACGCGTGGTTCTTAAATCGAAATTAATACGCGTGGTTCTTAAATCGAAATAACACACATTCAAAACATTGTAAAGTGTAAAAGTTTTCATTAATGCGGCCGCAATATGATGCTCATCAGTGGGAATAGTGGAGCTGATAGTGAGTAAAATATTTCATTTGATGAGTAGGGCCTACCTGAATAAAAAATATCGTTGGCCATTCAGATTTTTGCTTTTTCAAAATGGCTGCCACCAAAACAAAATGGCGACAATTTAGAATTGAGTTCAAGAAACAAAGAAGCTCAAAAAATGATAAAGATTCAAAAACTTTGAATTTCCAGTTGGATTTAGCGAATTTCTATATATTCTGGCAAAAAAATAAATGGATTTTACGGACAGAATGTCTCTGGTACGTCATTCATTATCCTGTAATGTTGTATCTTAAGTGTCAATGTCCTCTTTGAGATGGTGAGGCCACTCCATTTACTTGATTGATCCCACATGTATCCATGTTCAGCAAGGTGTGTCTCGACAGGTGTAATATTGCCATCCCCGTTCTGTTGAAGGTAAAGAGTTATCCTTTCGGACTGTAAGATAAATGTTACTTTGTTGTAACACTAGTCGGGGATAGACTTTCTAGTTGAAATAAACTCAGAGACCAATTGCCTATGTGCTTTGTGACGTTAGAGATTGGAAACTGCTGGCTCTACAGTCTAATAAAGAATGGAGGCTTCTTCAGCTCTTTTTACCTTGTCATGGATGCTTCCAAGGTCTGTGAAGGTACTTAGTCTCGTTTTTACTATATTGACAGCCTTTCTCTTGCCCTAACGATAGATTACAGAGACCGAATCATACACAGTCACAGCAAGTGTCTCCTGTGGCATGCTGAAATTCACGAATGTTGGATACTGTGACACGATTACTGCAGCATAGCAATATCTATAACAATTGACACTTCCCACTCTGGTATTATAAGTGTTATGATTGTATGATTGACAACTCATAAGGAAGTTAAGGTTTAATCAGAACAGCAACTTACAATAGGTATGAATACAAAAGGTGGACTGTCATGGGTGTGCACAAGCACGGGATAAAATGGCTCACGTACGTACGGGGAATCAGTCAGAGTTTATGTATGATTCAGACCACAAGTACAGTCGATAACATTAGTCACAATCACCATTCGATAATGTAACATCTTCCCCTTTAAAGTTCGTCAAACTAATCATTGAATTTTAACGGGCGACGGACACTTCGGCCTCGTGTAGTCTTTGGAACTTCATTCGACGAGCTTGAAACATTGGTTTAATGACTCACTGGATTTGTCGTTTTCTTTAAACTGGAATCTGGTGTATTCGTCTGCGGTGGTGGAGTCTTGAATTCAGGAGATTGTGTTGTTTTACTTTTAGACTGACTATTTGAAATAGGGATTTTCATCACATGACGACGATTACGACGTTGTGTAGAGTCTTTATTTAAGATCCGACTTAAATTGTTTGGTTACCCCATTGCTTCTCTCCGTCCAGTTTAACACGAACGAGGTCACCTGGTGTAACTTTGGGTAAAGTACGGACACCATGATGACGATTGTAGTAGAATTTTGTCTTTGACTTGTACTTTTCATCTGCCTTTTTAACAGTTGAATGAGCTGGCCATTTTGGTTTTAGGTTTTTGTTAGTAACCGGAGTGCGCATTTGACGACCCATGAGTAATTGCGCTGGACTCATACCAGGGAAGCCACTGGCGTACTTCCGTAAGCCAGCAATAATAATAGAGGGCCATTCTGGTTTAAAATTTTCTTAGCAATCTTGACTGCCATCTCTGATTCACCATTAGCCTGTGGATTGTGAGGACTAGTAAACACACTTGTTGTACTGCTTGGCAAACTCTTGAAACGATGATGTGTATTGAGTTGCGATGTCCGAAACTAAGATTTTTGGAACGCCCCATCTTGCAAAAATACTTTTGAGTTTGTCAACCACAGTTGCACTTTGAAGGTTATTTAGGGCAGCGAGCTCAATGTACCTTGAGTAATAGTCTATTACAACAATGTAGTGACGATTGTTGAGTTCCAGTATATCTGTTCCGAGTTTTGACCAAGGAAGCTCTGGTAATGGTGTTAGTTTGAGTGGTTCATGACGTTGTGATGGTTGATGAATTTGACAAAAATCACAATTTGATATCAGTGATTTAATGTCGGTAGAAATTCCGGGCCACCAAACTGTTGTACGGGCTTTTTCCAAGCATTTGGTTATGCCTAAATGTCCACCATGGATGGTGTCCAATATATCCTTGCGAAGGGATGAAGGAATGACGATTCGATCTCTGAATAGCAGCAGGCCTTTATCGGTTGAAAGTTCATTTCGTGATGGGAAATACTTGCGA